CAGCCAATAAAAAAATAAAAGATAAAGGAAAAGCATGCAATTATTTCTGCAGTATTAAATTAACTATTTAATTCGGTAAGCTACAAAACATGCAACATGCATAAAAAAACAAATAAACATTTAAAAAAAAAAAATTTATATTTCAGCACCCCGTGTTACCAAACAGTACTGCAAAAACAGTGATAGTTTTCTAACAGTTTCTCTGAACACTCCCCAGACAGTCTGCCATTGGTCAGTTAAACAGATAGTCCCGCCCCACACTATCTATCTATTGGTTGAGACCCTTTTCGCAAATGCATTTATAATCATCGTAAATATAGCAACATTTTCTCAATATTTTTTCTTTTTTGGAAAGTCACAGAAATACTATAATGGGTTTTTTTCTTTTGCTACTGGATACATTTCTTCTGTTGAACAAAATAAAATATTTTGAAGAATATTGGCAACCAAACAGCTGACGGTACCCATTGACTTCCAGTCTTTTTTTCCCTGCCATGGAAGCCAATGGGTGCCGTCAACTCTTCGAGTGCCAACATTCTTCAGATGATCTAATATCGTGTTCAACAGAAGAAAGAAACTCATAAAGGTTCGGAATGACACAGTTTTAATTTTCTGTCCCTTTAAGCAAGATATAAAAAAGTATTTAATTACACGCTTCACCTCTATATAGTGCATGTGCTACAGTTTCTTTTCAGCGAATGCAAACTCACAGCAGCAGCTTCTCGAAGAGGTTTTGATGAATTGTTACAAAGACCAAGAGTCTATTGTCCTTACCTGGGCACAAGCCATTGTTTGTGTCAGCTCATGCATTCAAAGACACGAGGCCATTCTTCTCTTCCGTCTCCAACAACAGAAGACACTTGAGTAATGAAAGTCCAAAAGCCTGAGATAAGCATCAACAGAAGAAGAGCCGAGGCGCTGCGCGCTGCATACTCCATCCGTTCAATCCCCTGCGATGCTCGGCCTGCTTCATTGTGTTTCACCTCGCCTGCTCCTGTCCTTCGCTTCGTCTATTTCAACAGCATTGCATGGGTTTGCATTCAGTCTAAAGCTTCAGCTGCTGTCTCGGGAAGTTTATGAAGAGCTGTAACGGATAGGCTGATGAAAAATGCATGTTGATTATTGTTAGACGGGGTCAGAATTGAGCGACTGAGAGTAAGATATACTGCAGGTCACAAAACAACAGAGAGCCAGAGACTCAGCATGAGGATTAATGACTGCTGCGGGTTAAAAATCATCAATACAGCATGCATTGATCACCGGTGGCTGATATGCACAATTATATAAAGGCTTTCATGTATTTGATAAAACGTGACAGATATGAGGTGCATGTGTGGTTGAAGCTGTGAATCCTGTTTCACCCCAGGAGTGTTTTTACCTGCCGATCACATTACAGGATCGAACCGTGAGGTGCTGGAAGTCAACAGGAGACCTGCAATCTGTAATGGGAGCAGTTAGATCGAAAACAAGATTAAACCAACTCAGTTAAGACGTCAGATTACACTAAAGGACAAGGGAAGGCAAACAAATAAGAAACCGGAGATTCAAAGTCTTCAGGCTGCTTTAAAAGGTCACACGAGTCATTATCAGGGTTATTACAGTTAACACAAACTAAAACCATTAAAAAATAGGTTACTTGAAATAAAATAAAATATAAAAAATATTTTAAAATGTAACTTTCAGCTAGTTGCCAAGACAACATTTCTCATTTTAATTTAGTTTAACTTGATGTACAAAAATAATAAACTAAAACTGAAATAAAATCATCTAAAAAATAAAATACAAAAAATTAATAAAAATTATAATAGTGTCTTTATGATACTAAAATAATACTGTAACATATCAGTATTATTTGAGAGTTATTAGGGTTGACTAAAACTGAAACTAAAATTAAAACCGTTAAATAAAACATTTTCATGACTTGAAATAAATGTTAACTGAAATAAAATAAAGTATAAAAAACTTTATTTCATGTAGTTGCCATGGCAACATTTCTCATTTTAATTTAGTTTAACTTGATGTACAAAAATAATAAACTAAAACTGAAATAAAATCATCTAAAAAATTCAATACAAAAAATTCAATACCGATACTAAAATAATACTGTAACATATCAGTATTATTTTAGTATCATTGAGACAGTTATTGGGGTTGACTAAAACTGAAACTAAAATTAAAACCATTAAAAAAAACATTTTCATAAATAAATAAAATAAAAAACTTTATTTCATGTAGTTGCCACGACAACATTTCTCATTTTAATTTAGTTTAACTTGGTGAACTAAAATAACTAAAAATGAAAAATTTATTTTAAAAACTATGTACAAAGATAAAAATAAAAAAACGACAAAAAGACAACAAAATTCCTAAAACGTTGACTAAAATTGAATAGAAAAAATTCAAAAAATCTCAATGATACTAAAATGCCACTCATTCATATATCATAGTTTCATCAAAATACTATAATTGTTTTTACTTTTTATTAATTTTAGTTATTTTAATACATTAAGTTAAACTACATGGAAATGAGAAATGTTGCTGAGCTAAAATAAATATTTATACAATTATTTTTTAAAACAAATGTATGCAGTCATTATTTAGTTTTTCATGACATATTTTCTACCTTCTGGCTCAGTTTGAGTCTAGTGCCTATGCAGGCAAAACCTGTTCCAAAACATGTCTTATTTTTGCCCAAATTCAGCCAAAATGGATTTAATTCTTCATGAGCCCTTTAAGAGACGATGCATCTATAACTGGAAGGTTTTCCAATATTTGAACATTATCAAGCCATGTTGTAGAGGACAAAAATCTCAATACTGCATATTTACATCATGTTATTTACAGCAAACAGAACAGATTCAGAGCTTCAGCATGACGTCACATTAGATTGCGCTTTCTTAGAGACGCAGAATATGTTTGGAGTGTTTATTTCCTCTGGAGTCAGTGAGCATCAGTATATCTTATATCAGCACTAGAGATTCCACTGAATTATTCAGTCCAAAACATGTTTAAATATTCAAAGATGATTAAACTGGTTGGAGTTTAAAGACAAACTGATTATCTCAGCATCATCTGAAATCCACCAGACGAGAGCTTCACTCTGTGAACTGTAGCTTTAAATTGCACATTTTATGACAGGAAAATTGTCCATTTTCAGCACGATTGACCTGCTCCGAGGATAAAAACATGATTTAAAGGCATAGTTCATCCATAAATCATAATTCTGCTCATCATCATCATTTAGTCACCCTCATGTCGTTCTTCTGTGAAAAGCAAATGGAGATGTTTAGGAGAATGTTCGAGCTTCTGTTTTTGATACAGTGAAAATGAATAGTGATTTATATGGCCAAACTCCAAAAAGCACAAAAACACCATTCAGTTATCAGAAAATAGTCTATATACAGTATCTTATTTATAGTGTTCTGAAGTTGTTTTTTTTTATAAAAAAGGTAATTGCAACTTTTTATCTCACAGTTCTAAAAAAACAGAATTGTGTGACAAATCCAGAATTGCGAGATATAAAGTCAGAATTATGAGATATAAACTCAGAATTGCGAGACAAAAGCTTCACTCTGTGAACTGTAGCTTTAAATTGCACATTTTATGACAGGAAAATTGTCCATTTTCAGCACGATTGACCTGCTCCGAGGATAAAAACATGATTTAAAGGCATAGTTCATCCATAAATCATAATTCTGCTCATCATCATCATTTAGTCACCCTCATGTCGTTCTTCTGTGAAAAGCAAATGGAGATGTTTAGGAGAATGTTCGAGCTTCTGTTTTTGATACAGTGAAAATGAATAGTGATTTATATGGCCAAACTCCAAAAAGCACAAAAACACCATACATTTATCAGAAAAGAGTCTATATATCTTATTTATAGTGTTCTGAAGTTGTTGTTTTTTTTTATAAAAAAGGTAATTGCAACTTTTTTATCTCACAATTAAAAAAAAAACAGAATTGTGTGACAAATCCAGAATTGCGAGATATAAAGTCAGAATTATGAGACATAAATCAGAATTGCAAGATAAAAAATCTGAATTGTGAGACAAACGCAGGATTGCGAGATATAAATCAGCATTGCAAGACAAACAGAATTGCGAGATATAAATAAAAATTGCAAGACAAACAGAATTGCGAGATATAAATAAGAATTGCAAGACAAACAGAATTGCGAGATATAAATAAGAATTGCAAGACAAACAGAATTGCGAGATATAAATAAGAATTGCAAGACAAACAGAATTGCGAGATATAAAGTCAGAATTGCAAGACAAACAGAATTGCGAGATATAAAGTCAGAATTGCGATATAAATAAAAACTGCAAGACAAACAGAATTGAGAGATATAAAGTCAGAATTGCGAGACAAACAGAATTGCGATATATAAATAAAAATGGCAAGACAAACAGAATTGCGAGATATAAATAAAAATTGCAAGACAAATAGAATTGCGAGATATAAATAAAAATTGCAAGACAAACAAAATTGCGAGATATAAAGTCAGAATTGCGCGACATAAATCAGAATTGCGAAACAAATGCAGCATTGTGAGATATAAAGTCAGAATTGCATGGCGAAAACAAATAAACAGAATTCCAATTTGTAAACTCAGAATTCTGAGAAAAAAAGTCAGAACTGCAACATTTAAACTAGGAATTTCAAGAAGGTAAGTCAGAATGTCCACACATTTATGATCGCGTTCGCTTAAAAACATCATGATGTCAGCGTGTCCCCATTGTGTTTCACAGAAAAATTATAATAATACGGGTTTGGACATGAAGGGAGCACATGATGACAAAATGTTCATTTCTGGACAAGCTACTCCTTTAAAAACACATCAATGTCACAGTACTGTAACACCTGTTTCAGACAATCAGTTCCACAAACAAAGCCTTCTCAAACGACTCGTCTTGTCTTTGTCACTGTGTCTCCTGATCGGTGTTATCTTGATAAATGTCTGGAGCTTCTTTTGTTCAGTGAATCGCCTGCCGTCTGTCAGCAGTGCAGGATTTTAATGAAGGCCTTGCGGAACTCGATGTTGAAGGTGGTGTAGATGACGGGGTTGAGATTTTTAACTAGTCAACTTGATTCAAGTAACATTTTCTTTATTAACCCTCTATTTAAAGATAATTCTATTCCAAGTGCATCACACATGAAGTTGTCAACATGATGTAAACGTAAACAAATTTTTTTGCAGAAAAAGATGCATGCAACTACATCTTGTACAAAGTTGTCTTATACATATTATATGTTCAGAAATAATACGAGCAAAATGCTTTAAAAAGTCAAGGTAATTTAAATTCGAACTGACTGAAGGTATAACACCAGTAGACTATTATTAACTATAAATGTTCTGTAAAAACAATGAACAGCAGCTTTCAGCCGGTCACCATGATGCAAACATGAAATATCAGACATACAGTAGTAGTTACAGGTTTTTATTCAGTTGTGCTGCTTTTCCACTGTTTTTTCTATATAAACATGGACGGGCTTGAATGTTACTCTCGCGTCTCTTGCAGCATCTCATGCATGAAACGGCATTCTAAAAACACTGTGCTCAAGTTAAAAGAAGTTCATTCCCATCTTCTTTCATGTTTTTCCTATTCCACTGCCTGCGTCACATCTTTATTAATACAAAAGCGCATTCTGTGTAAATGGCGCTTAGCGCTA